ATTGTCGAAATCCGTGACCAATGCATAAAAAACAACAGAAAAATCAAATTACTGTGGGCCCCGGCGCATATAGGTATAAAAGGGAACGAACTAGCCGACAAAGCTGCAAAGCTAGCCGGTCGGGCTCCGTGTCAGACAATTATACCAGGAGTATCTGGAAAAACATCCAAAAAATATTGCTCGACATTGAAATGGAAGATTGGTCATCTTTCAACCACCGTTACAAGCAATTTAACCCTGACAAAAAGCATATCTACGTGCCGGCCTCGAGTACGAGAAGGGAATGCGCCATTTTCGTCAGGCTAAAAACCGGACATACTGATCTCACCCATAAACACCTCCTCACCGGCGAAAGGAAACCCAACTGCCCCCACTGCGGCGGAGAACTAACAGTCAATCACCTGCTGGACACACGCCGAAATTATCAAAACGACAGAACTGCTCTCTTTGGACTTACTCCTCCCACACAATCTTATATATAAAAATGAATCGCAAAATGTGTTGGTAAGCGCATCACATGAAAACGGCTTGACCGATTTGGCTGAAAATTGGTAGGGAGATAGCTTAGAACAAGAAGAAGGTTGTAGCATAAGAAAATTATTGGAAAACCTTCTGGAAAAGTCGCTAGCGGCTTAACAGATGTACACAATGTTGTATGTAATTACGCAATCGTTCTTATGGGGTAGGCAGTAGGCATTTGGTTTTAAGTAAAAAGGTTTGCTTTATCAAAGTTTTTATAAAAAAAAGTGTTTTGTTTGTGAGTAGTGAAAAAATAATGCCTGCTATAAGACGAAGCAATTTAGGTAGAAGAACCAGAAATGCTACAAACCAGTCTAATTACCGATCTAATCGTACTGCACAAGAACGTGAATACGTAAATGAACATGAAAGAATTCGGATATCACAAACGCGTGAAGCGCGAGCGCGACATTCAACTACAAACTTTATTTCATCAACGAAATCAATTGATTATATTGTTTAAAACTGCCTTGGATCTGATGCCATCCGATAATCACAAAATTGTAATCAGAGCTGATAAAACACCTGCAGGTCAACATACAAGACGTTTTAATGCACCAACTATTGACGAAGTTGCTATCATTGTAGTTGGAGAAAACTTGGAATCCCGTGATATTGTTTTACATCGTCGGAATGATCAATTACAACGTATAAAGGAAACACACCGCTCATATGATGCACTGCAATATCCCATTATATTTGCGCATAACTCAACAACGTCTAAACCGATTTTGATGAAATTTTTTGTGTGTATTCCAGGGGGTTTGAGGATGATTTAGATTCACAATATGTTAAAATAATATTAATTCGATCAAAAGATGAACTTATTCAGAAGGTGTTTCCAGATGTTTCTCAAAATTACAGAAACCATGATTGGTTGAGCGAACGAGCTATACTGGCTGCAAAAAACATAGATGTGAATGAATTAAATTTCAAAATTCAAGAACAAATTATAGGCGAATTGAAGATATATAAATCAGTTGATTCGGCTACTAATCAAGGTGATGTAGTCAACTATCCACCGGAATTTTTAAACTCGCTGGATTTGCCAGGTTTGCCACCTCACAATCTTCAATTAAAGGTTGGATCGGTGGTTATAATGTTGCGAAATATCAACCAGCCGCGTCTTTGCAACGGTACACGGTTAGCGATAAAAAATTACTTAACAATGTGATAGAAGCAACTATACTCAAAGGAAAATATAAAGGAGAAGATGTTCTCATACCGCGCATCCCAATGATTCCGACTAATGTGCCATTTGAGTTTAAACGACTACAGTTTCCAGTGCGGCTTGCTTTTGCTATGACTATAAACAGGTCCCAGGGGCAATCATTAAGTGTTTGTGGTATTAATCTAGAGAACCCATGATTCTCACATGGTCAATTGTATGTTGCCTGTTCCCGTGTTGGAAAACCATCAGATTTGTTTATCTATGCGCCAGGTAATCAAACAAAAAACATCGTATACCACAAAGCACTACAATGATAATAATAAAAATTATGATTCACATGATTAACAATAAAGCGATTACATACTTTTAAATCCTTATATATGTTTTATTAAATTATTTTTTATTCACAACTCCCTATTACAGGGTGATGGTTCTGTTTAGGAGATTTTTTTTTAAATACGTAGGCACAAAAACTGCCACATTACAAATCTTTTTGACAGGACGAAGTCTGTCGGGTCAACTAGTTACTAAATAACTTTTCACCCATTAATGCCAACCTAATTTTATCATTCTTACGCAAATGTAAAATCATTGACAAAATTTAAAAAAACAAATACTACTTAAGAAACTTGTACTACTAGGGAAGAGTTCACTTAGGATAGTTACCGGCTTACTAACCGGACATTGCAAACTAAGGAGACACCTATTTAATATAGGGATTACAAACAGAAAAACATGCAGATTCTGTGATAGCGAGGATGAAACCTCCCTACACATAATATCAGATTGCCCAGCACTAAGTAGCCTGAGGAGCAGAACCCTCGGGTCCAGGTTCCTTACACTTGGGACCTCCGGGAGCATCGACCCGAAAAAGCTCTTTAATCTTATCGAAGGAGCCGGGTTGATGGGTGAGCTCTAAGCTCAGATAGGGGGTACAATAGATCCAGTTGGGTCGAGGTAACCTTTTCCCCCCTAATAATAATTATAATAACTAACTGATCCATATCGGACAAAGAACTCGAAATTGACTTTATAACTGATAGGTGCCTTAAATAGTCCTCAAGTTCGGACGAAGGAGGTATGTAAGAGCAGGTTATAAAAATTAACCTGCCAGCGACAGACAGTTTTATGCATAAAAATTCTAACTCAAAGTTCAAAGGATCTTCTGTCAAAACCTTTTCTGACTGCAATAAGGACGCCCCATCCCCGTCTAGAGGGATGGTCATGCCTATATATTGTGTACTTACCGGGAAATCTTCGGAGCAAAAGATCTCCGGCTTTAACCAGTTTTCTGTAAATATAATAACTTGGGATGCAAACGAAAAGCTATCAATATACAATTTGGTTAGTTTGCTATGCAAACCTCTTTTATTCTGATAGCCAATTAGGAGGTAAGCGGTTAGTTTTTTGGGTGAGGAGGAGCGGTTTTTTGGTCCCGGCCGGGGAGTTTTAATCCCACAGGGGGTAGGCTTCATTGTTTTTATACCCTTGCAGAGCAAAAGAGTATTATAATTTCAGTCAGAAGTTTGCAACGCAGTGAAGGAGACACCTCAGACCCCATAAATTATATATATTCTTGATCAGCATTACGATCACGAAAAATTCTCACGCCGTTGTTTTTGATCAGATCGACTTGATTTCTACCAGATGGAGTTTTTTAACCACTATCGAATTTCGCATTAAATTTTATTAAAATCGGATAACTCTGTCATATACATAGTTGCCATAGAAAAGATCGTAAAAAATATAAATAATGGGAAAAAAATTATAACATCGCTTTTCAAAAATGTTTTAATATCCCTTGGAACGATCGAAAAATCTATATATTGTAGAAATAACGGATATAACATTATGACATTTTTGTTTTTCATCAGACAAGCATGATTTTTGGAATATAGAGTTTTTCAACGACTCTTGAATTACAAATGAAATTTCATCAAAATCGAACAACTATCATATAGCTGCCATATAAACTATAGACGAAAATATGAACAATTAATAGATAAATCGTCATAGCTTCGATGTTGGTATGCCTTTATGTATTTTTTTCGACATATTTGATGACTGCAAGGGTATATAAGCTTCGGCTTGCCGAAGATAGCTTCCTTTCTTGTTATTCAATAAAATAAATCAACATTGTAAGTAAGATCTCAATAAAAGTGAATACTTACCTGATAGTGAAGAACAAAAAGTTATATAATGCAGCAATACAAATATTAAGTGCGAACTAGCAGTCATTATATATATATGTATTTTTTTTGTTCTGTCAGAATCCTAAAACGATAAGCAAACACACACCTAATTAGGGAAAATAAAATTTAGTTAAAATTGTACTTGACCGAATAAAATTTTATGTGAAAAAGCACATTAAAGATCTCCGTCAAGCGACTTATTTTTACTTATTGCCTCTTAAACTGACGGATAGTATTTGTCGGAAAGACACCGAATATGCCACCCTTGTAATTTACGTTTATATTTTAGAGCTGAAACTATTCGATTTATGTTTTCGTAATATGTTGTGTGTATGTTTTACTGGGTGCCAGCCGAAAGCGCGGCTTCCTTATAAAGTAATTTGCAAGAAAAGCTTGGCTACATAGATAACTTAGCTGATAGATGCAGAGCTCGCAAATAACTGTCAACCGTTTTTGTTCCTGTGCTCTCGGTGCGAGCACAACCGAAAAAGTTCATACTCTCTCGCTCTTGCTCTGAGCAAGAGCCCCTTGCTGTCATCATTTGTATTTTCTGTTGAGCGCTTTTCGTTGAGCTCTTTTTATTTCGGTCTTTCAATGAGCAGTACGTAAGGAGCAGATCGAGAAACGCTCGCACAATGAGAGTTAGCAAAAGACCGATTGACCGAAAAACTCAACGCAAACGGTCTTCGCATTTACACACACACGTTCAATTCACGAAGACGAATAATATATTTCGTCCGCAAAACCGATGTTTAACGATTTGCTTGCCTATAAGTGCACTGTATATCAATACATATGCAAAAGACCTTTTGCTTCACTGAAAACGACAAAACGGTCCTGGAGCAACCAGAACAAAACCGAATAGAAAAAACGGTTTCGGTCTGAGCGCAACCAAACCCATTCACGAACCCAGAAAAGGGTCGTTCTCTGAGCCTTTTCGTAATGAGTCAGGAGAAGACTGTTATTAGCAGACAACGAGAAACGGTCGACTGTTATTTGTGAGCTCTGGATAGATGAGATAACGAATGAGTAGCTTTCAGAGCGGATTAGAAAAATGCAACTGCAGCGGTACACCTTTGCGCACCAGATTAGGTACTGGCGGTCTGCTCCGAACATACTCCCCCGAGGGAAGAGGTATGGTTCCAAATTTATGGGAATCGATGGGCAGAACGGCTATTTTGGTGACGGCTCTCTTAATGATGCTCGTAGCTGTACAGACCATAGCTACTCTGATGACGCTGTCATCGCCGGGTAGACTTCTTGAACCCGTCCAAGTGGCCATTTTAACGATGGAATGCTGTCTCCTTTAACAAAGCGATGCTTTCGATCTTGATGTTGGAAATGACAAATATTTGCTGCATTTGAGTCACAATTTCCCATTTGCTGAGGCGGCCTTCGAGGAGATGTATCACATCTGGCTCAGGAAATTTGGTTTAGGAAATGTGTTGGCGTTAGCACCTCAAGGCGTTTGGCGTTTTCTGAAATTGGACAGATAGCAGAAATCTCGTAAGCAAGATTTCTCAATTCATCGAGGGATACAGCGGATGGACTGACGACTCTGAAGAAGTTAAATTTGCCCGATTTGACAGCGGCCTCCCATAGACCACCGAAGTTTCGGGCACGCGGAGGTAAGAACTTCCAATCTATTCGAATCGCTAGGCCCGAAGAAGCTATAGAAGCTGTATGTGGTTCGCTTGAAAATAGTTCCTTTAACTCGCGCCGATAAAGTGTGTCGCATTGTCACTCCAAATAGTCCGCGGACTACCTCTAAGGCTGAAGAATCTTCTCTTAACTTATATGAAGGAATCTGTTGTGAGGTCTTGAACGACTTCCAAGTCAGCGGCCTTCGTGGAAAAGCAGACTCTACCTTATGATAGAATGGCCCACAATAGTCCAATCCTGTCGCATGAAATGCTATGTTAGGTTGAACTCGATTTGCTGGAAAACTACCCATGACGTGCTCCTAAGTCACAGGCTTCATCCGAAAGCATCTGACACATTTATTGATGACGCTAGCCACGAACTTCCGATCTACAATTGACCAATACTTTTTTCGTAATAAGGCAAGCAACGGCTGCGATCCTGCGTGCATGTATTTTTTATGAAAATACACGATAATTACCTCGGTGACTGAATGGTCTTTGGGAAGCAGTATCGGATGCTTTGATCTGAAGCCTGCCACCAACGCGAAGTAAGCTATAGGAGCCAAGTATTGGCCTCAGAGAAATCAGCTCGTTCTTCTGTGGACACCTCTTGCTCTTGCTAAGAAATCCATTCTCCTTGGCTAAGTGAGCCTGCTTGATGTTCCTCAGAATAAAAACGGTCCCCGAGTTGATCTCCTCAACGGAATGGTAGGCGTTTGAGGATAAAGCTTTGGTTCTGTAATTCAAAATAAAACAATACATGTACGCAAATACAAGCTTTAACTTATCGAACAAGTTTAGGAATTCGCAGTTAGTAGAAATCTCAACGGAATTAGCGTCGCGGAACGACGCTTCGGAAGATCACTTACTACATCCAGCAGGGAAGGGCATTCCGACGAGCCCCGCAGAATTAATGGAGGTCCATTAGCTCGAAGAGAATGCTTCAATAAGTAACAGCCTCACGACACGACATCCGCCGGATTGAGATTGGTTGGAACATGATGCCAAGACATTTCTTTGCTCATCTCCTAAATTTTTGCGATTCGGTGGGATACAAACACGTTAAACTCCCTCAAAGGTAACCGAATCCACGCCAATGTAATAGACGAGTCAGACCAGCAATGAAATTCGGAATCGAAATCTATGGTTTTCTTGACGTTTACGATCAGCTCAACCAATAAAAGTGCGGCTTAAAATTCTAATCTTGGAATTGTTGTGGCCTTCAAAGGGGCTACTCTCGACAGAGTAGATAAGCTTTTGTGACTTCATTGTCCTCCGTCCGCAGAACCCATGCAACTCAATGGACGCTTGCGGTCGCGTTAACAATCAGGAAATTTTAAAGTTTTGGACGATGGACAACTGAGAGGTAAACTCCCCCATGACGAAAAAATCGGATCTGGCAATGTGCCATCCCAACCACATTAGCCTTCCATAGAGGTTGCATAAAGATTGGATGTCTCCACTAAGAGCTACATTAAAGTATCTAAAGCGAACCAATATATTAAAGATTTTCTGCGAAACGGTCGGCCCTGCGAGAAGTAAGTCATTCAAGGAGGTACCAGAAGTCGTTTTAGCAGACCTATTAAAGACGATACGAAGTAGGTATTTTGCTCGTGCTCTCATGCTTATTTACACAATGGTGAAGCAAGAAAAAATGTGGTAACGCTGGGTACTTTGATGCGAGGGACATGTGCTCTAAGTTCATCAACTCTTTCAGAAAGGACTGAAACTTCAGGGTGGGTTTCTATCTAGCTTAGCTTACAAACTCTTGAAACGACGACGAGCCAAGCAAAAGGAATCCCCTACAGATTCTATTATTATAGTTTTTCAATCCCATAACTCCTCCTGGGAGATTTCTCCATCTTACTCTATCTCTTGCTGCCTGTTTCGCTATGTTTAAGAAACGTTTCATCTCCATGTTGTTTAAGGTCTGCCTACTTGTCTGCTTCCCTGTGGGTTCTATTCTAGCACCATTCTCACTATGCTATGCTGGTCCTTTCGCAGTGCGTGGCCTATCCATCTCCATTTTTTCTTCCTGATTTGGTGTCTTATTGCTATTTCACACATCATATTCCAGAGGTCTATGTTAGAATTCTGTTTGGCCAGAAAATCCCGCATATTATTCTGAGACACTTGTTGGTGAAAGCCTGCAATTGCTGGATTATTATCTGTGTTGTGAGCCACGCCACGCTTCCGTATAGTAGGACGGATTTTACGCATGAGTTGAAGATTCGTATATTTGTTTTTCTTGCTTATTTGTTGGCTTCTCCGTATGTGGTAGAGCCTCCCGAAGGCTGACCTGGCTTTGGCTAGTTTGCTCGAGACATCTTCTGTCACGCCACCGTTGATGGAGATTACGGTACCAAGGTATGGGAAACTCTCGACGTATTCTATTGAGTTTCCATCAACGATGACATATCCTTGGGTGGCGTGATTGAGGCGCATCGCTTTTGTCTTTGCCGTGTTAATTTGTAGACCCACACGGCTGGCTAGATTCACGAGGTGATCAACTTTAGATTGAATATCACTCAGTTTGTGAGAGATTAGGCAGATGTCGTGTGCGTAGCCCAGGTCTGCAAGATGACTGGTGAAGTTCTATGTGATTCCACGCTTGGGTTTGCACACTTCTCTCATGACCTCTTTCACCACAGTATTGAAGAGCAGTGGGGATAGTGGGCATCCTTGCTTGACCCCGGGGTTTATTTGGAAAGGTGCACTTGTCTTCCCGTTGTGCAGTACCGTCAAGTTGGCGTCATCGTATAACGCCTTTATTAGGGCGATGATGTTGTGTGGTATTCCTTTCCTAACAAGCGCTCCCCATATCGTTGCTCTATTTATTGAATCGAACGCCTTCTTCAAATCGATAAACAGTACGTACAGTGTTGGCTAGGTCTACGCAGCTCCTGTGTGGTCTGAAGCCTGCCTGTTCATCTCTTAGTGTCGGCACTAATTTTTCAGTCATCATTCGTTCGGAATTGTGCGTAGGACTTTGTAACTGGTGTTCAGTAGTGTCATTCCTCTACTATTGTTGCAATCGCTAAGGTCTCCTTTAATGGCTATTTTCACGATGACTCCGCATTTCCAGGAGTCGGGAATGTGTTCGCTCTCCCATGCACTCGAAAAGTGCGGGTGCAATATTTCTGCCATCAGTTGAGTGTTTTTTTTGTTCGTCGCGCGTAGTCCCACGGTCCACCACCCACTCAACCGACCGAGGGACGACAGCCGTGTATCGTACGGCACGATTCGCGGAAAATTTGGCTCGATGTTAAAAGAAGGACGAAAAAAATGAAAAACGAAAGAAATTTGAAATTTAGTTTTAATTTTAAATTTAACGATCTCATTTTGTGCCAGAAATGTTAATACTAATTGCTTAAGGAGCTGCAGAGAGTCAGAAGAGGATAATATAGAAAAAAGTATATTGTTGTCAGAACAAAGTACTCCGAAAGGCTCATGCACGTTATAATTAGATCTTTAATGATTTAAAACTAAAGGAACATAATTCCTAGTTAATCTACTTGGTATCGAGAAATTTTGTCTGCTCAACATGTAAGGACTGTCAATTTCATAACGTATAAGGTTATGAATAAATACAGTACCAAGCATCGTTCTACGGTTAGTAAGGGAGGGCAAGTTAATGAGGAGCAATCTATAAGAATAGGAGGGTAGGAATAGGTTTGCATTCCACTTTAGGCGGCGTAGGACAAAATGTAAAAAGCGTTTTTGGACTGATTCTATAAAATCAGCGTGTACTCCGTATTGAGGACTCCAAACGGGTGCCCCATACTCAAGGGTTGGCCGGACAAACGATATAAATAAAGCCTTGGTAACGTAAGGATCCTCAAATTCTTTCGAACATTGTTTAATAAATCCAAGCACTTCCCTAGTTTTATTAACCATGTTCGAAAAATGAAGAGGGAAAAATTTAAGTTTATAGTCCAAGAGGACGCCAAGATGGTCAACAAACGTTATTCTTTCCAAGGTGTTTCCACATAGCGAATAGGTGACATTATGCGGACTGACCCCACAAAACCCGACAGCTTGCACTTAGAGCTGTTTAAACCAAGTAACTTATCATTGCACCAGTTTTGATAGCTTCTTAGGTGTTATTGAAGGTTGAAATAACGGGAGTATTTATTATATTGCAGACACAGTTTTACATCATCCGCGTACATAAGGTAAATAGTAATGATCCCAGGTGGCTTCCTTGTAGTACACCAGAGGAAACTCTGAGGAGACTACTTAAGGAATTTTTAAAAAGGACTTTGTGTATGGCCACTTAGATAACTAGAGATCCAACTTAAGAGATCTGCTGGAAACCCTATCATGTCAAGTTTTCGAATCAATAGGAAGTGATTTACAGAGTCAAATGCTTAACTGAAGTCTATGTAAATGACATCAGCTTGAAAATGATTTTTAAGTCCATTTATCACAAAAGACATGAGCTCTAAAAGATTCGTTGTAGTAGACCTGTGCTTCAATAATTCGTATTTGCTTAGAGATATGACTGATCTACAAAGGGGCTGCAAGTGAGGAGTTATTGCTCGTTCAAAAAGCTTTGGAATTGCTGACAATTTAGAAACACTTTTATAATTGCTTGAATCCGACTTGTTTTCCCTTTTTTGTGAAGGGGAACAATAAA